CCAGATACCCAGATACGATATTCTCATATGCAGACAATTGAGTCCTAAAAGGAGAGGATGAAATAAAAAATAAAAAATAAAGAAGAGATTAAAATTAATTCTTTAAATTATAAAATTGTTAAGATTTTATTAAGGAAAAATTAATGAAACATCCCTCTCCAACTTTATGTAGTAGGAGAGATTCAAGATATATTTTTTTATTAGCTAAGGTCTCTCGATGAAATTTCTTTGTAATCATACCAGAGAAATTTTGAAATTTCTCTTTGATCATATCATAAAAATTTCAAAATTTCTCTGTGAAAATTGAAATTTTTTTGTGAGGGTCGAAATTTTTCTGAATTGGATGAAATTTCTCTGAGCGAAATTTCTCTAAATCGAATTTTCTCTATGAAAATGTTGAGGGACGTTAACTACTATAAAAATATTGTATATCCTTTATCTTATAAAATCTTAATATCATGTATCTTAAAAAAAATTGTTTTTTTATTAATCACTCTTCCTAATCCTGAGTTAATTCAACTATTGAATAAGATATACAATATAATACTATCTATAAATAAATAAATAAATAAATAAAGAAGATATACAATATAAAATAGGAGACTTGTATATAGGTCCTAATAGGTAGATTTGTTGTCCAATAGGTCATATAATAAGTAATGGCTTTTTTCATCAAACATTATTAAAAAAAATCACTAATTATCAATTCTTAGAGACAGTTTAATAATTGTTACAAAAAAATGTCACTAATTATAAGTTAGCGACAATTTAAAAAAATCGTCACAAAAAAAATGTTACTAATTTTTAACGTTCAGTGACAGTTTGAAAAATTCATCATAAAAAAATCACTAATTGTAAGTTTTAGCTACAATTTATAAAAAATCATGACCAAAAAAAAAAAAGAGTTACTAATTTTCAATTTTTAGCGATATATGTACAAAATTGTCCAAAAAAATTATTTTTAATGACAATTTTATTAGGACTGATTTTCAATAGAATTTGATTGAAATTAAGTCAAATTATTAGAATCTATTGATAATTACCTTACAAAATAAGTTGGATGGGATTCCAACCAAAGGCCCCCCAATATGAAAGGGAATATATATAGTTTTAAATTAAAATCAAATTTTATATTTTACTACAACACACCCACCAGTATATATTATAGTATATATTTGACCATGCATGAGGGCTAAAAAACAAAACAAAAAAACTAGCCCGTGAACAGTTTGTAAAAAGGGAAGAATGCAAACCCTAGCTCTTCCAACAATTTTAGGGAAGGAAAAGTGGCAAGGAAACCTTCCCGAAGAAATCATTATTGAAATACTCTCAAGGTTACCCCTCAAAACTCTTGTCAAATTCACTCTTGTTTCCAAGCGGTAGTGTTCTTTGATTCAATCAGGTTCTGTGAAAAGCGTTCAACGAAACAAAGTTCTAATTTATGGAAGGTTTTATCTTCACTCCATCAACGAAGCTTGTCTTGTGAAAAGCGTTCTTGAACTTGTTGAAAAAATCCCATCTCATTATCGATGATTTGTTCTTGTAGAATCCGCTCACCAAATGTTCGAAGAAAGTCCTCTCATATCATCGCTTGCGAGCATTGGCGGAGGCAAAGAAGGACGTAGGGGGTCACGTGCCCCCTTCAGTTTTGAGATTTTTTTTTTTTTTGGTCATATATAAAATGTATTTTTTTTTCTTAACATGTTTTTTGGTTAAGAATTTATTGTATTGTTCATAACAAGTAATTATTTGATACTTTAAGAGTATTGTGTGATATTATTTATATAATAGTTTAAACCAATAGTATAGCGAAAAATTTTATAAATTGAATATAATGAACTCATTATTTTCAAGCAGTTGACAGACTGCTTAGTGTGATTTGTGATTTCTCATGTTTTGAGCATCACGTAGGCAATGCTATATAGTATTCTAAGACTGTTTAATAATTTTCATTCAAAACACATCATTTATAAGTAATGTCAACTCTTTAATATTTTTCTATCAAATAAAAATTAAATAGATTTTATAATAATTTGTGCTATAAACAATGTGTTTTTATTTTCTAAAATAAAGAATTTTGATCCATAATTTTTTGTGCTAAAATTACAAACTTACGTCACCATTCCACACCGAGCTATTCCACACTATTATAGAATTTTAATTTGTTCCTATTAATAATGAATATGTAATTTTTTATGCTTAAATTTAGCTCATAAAATTGTTATTATCTTAATGTTCATCATGATTTTTTTTAAATCAAAAATTATAATTAATAGTGCCCCTTGAACTCAATTTCCTAGCTCCGCCACTGCTTGCGAGATAGTGGCTACGGTGTTGTTTCTGGGCTTTGCTTTGACTCCTCGAATAATGAGTACAAGGTTGTAATGGCGCTTTCTCATGAGACTCCAAGTCACGGTGGATTGGTTGTAATTGGTAGTTTTCGAAGCAAAACTTGGACAGTTGTTCACTTCCCATACCGTGTTTCTAGTGTGAAATCAAGTCCTGTTGTGAATGAAAATCTACATTGGTTTACTTCTACAGAAAGTTGGAGTCGCTTCTTCGCACGCCATCAAGTCATTTACTTCAATCCAAGGAAGAATATATTCAGGAAGTTACCAATGCCACTACCTAAGGATGGCAATGGAGATATTCTACTCGGTTTGGGAGTTTTAGAAGGATGTCTTTGTATGGTTCGCTCTTGCGAGCACCTAACTGATCGTATGGATAGAGTTGAGGTGTTGGTGATGAAGAAATATGGTATCAAAGAATCTTGGACTTCCATGTTCATTCTATCGAATTTGCCTAACTTGCATATTTATGATAATGTACTACCATTGTTTTTTACAAAGAATGGTGAGATTCTAATGAAAATTGGCAAGAACTGTGTAAGAGCATATAATCCTAACGACAACTCACAAAGGGATATTAGGATTCCAGCCTACAGTCCCTACTTCTATGCAGCTGTGTATGAGGAAAGTTTAGCTTCACCTATTGATTACAACTAGGAAGCAGAAGAGTTGAGAGAAGATGCAAGATATGTGGAAAATTCCCTTTCAGGCTCTTGGCGAAAAATGAGAAAGGTAATAAGGGTGGGTGTTTCAGCATACGAGGTTGAAGGGGGAGGACTTAGAGAGTCAGACTCGGAATATATGATGGATAACTATAGGAGGAGGAGAAATTGACTGACTTCATTTTTATAGTACTCATTTAAAAAAATTCTCTAATCTTTGACTACATTTTTATTATTTCAGATTTATTTTGATTTCTTTTATTTTTGTGATTAACAACTTTAAATTAGTTGATCATAAAATAGGTAGGATAGCTGGTTCATTAGGTCATGTTAGTGAGCCAAGAAGAGTAGTTGGTGCATGGAGGATAACAATAAGATCATATTTGTTTGGTGGATTAGATTAAGGAAATAAAAGCATAAGTAATACCACTTCCTACATACATTTATTTTTAGTACCATAAAATTGTTGAATGAGATTATATATGCCATGTGATTGTTTGATTAGAATGAGATAAAATTTTGAAAGAGTTTTATGACATTTAAATACTGAAGGAAAGATAATTCGGAACGGGAACTAATTGTCCAGAGGGAGTGATGGGATTGATTAATTAGCAGTCAAACAAACACTGAATTTGCAAATTCATCTAATGCTTAATAAATATATATATATATATATTTCCAAATAAGAATTTATATTTTGATTTTGTGAAACAATGAATTGGGTTAGCTTATTTCCGGAGCTTGTTTTCAATTTTTAGCAAAGACAAAACAATTCTTTGTTGAGTTAGTTGTTGGATTCTCCCCTCTTATAGAGATATTTGTTGAGTTTGTTGGTAGATTTATTATTATATGTTGGTTGTTTCTTCTCATTATGGGATTATTCCTCATTTCTATACCATGGGCTGACTGGAGACCTTATTGTAATTATTTAATTCGTTCATCTTTTAAGTCCTCTCTAGATCATTCAAAAAAACAAAAAAATATTTGATAATTATAACTATTTGATTTAAATACATTTTTCTTAAACATAATTTAAAAAATAAAACATTCATTTTTTAAAGATAAATACAATTAAATATTGTGACTATAATTATTAGATTAATTTTATTTTTTTTTTTATAAATGATCTACATATACTTAAAAAAATTATAAATTAAAAAAATTCGTGTTTGACCCATGTATCCAAACGGGATCATCGGATCGTCCAAGAAAATTGGAGAAAATTAGCTCATAAAAATTGTTCAAACTTTTATTCAAAATGAAAGTTTATGATTGAGATTGAATTTATATAGTATAAGATTTATTGAATAAATTTGAATTACAAAAATAATATTTTTTGATAAATGTTTAAATAAAGTTTTAAGGTTTCTTTATTTACATAAATATATATATATATAGTGCTAAAAAAAAAAATAATCTCTAGAATATATAGATAAGCGTTTGGTAACATTTACGTTTTTGTTATATTTTACAAAAATTTTATAAATTGATTTTTGTTTATTTTTAGAAAAACATAAATTATAAACGTATTTAGTTTGAACAAAATGTTTTAAAAAAATTTATAAACATAAACTAAAAAATATATTTGGTTCAGTCCTAAAATATTTATTTTATTTTTATTATTTCTAACAATGAGATCACACACATTATAATTGAAAAAAGTTAATTAAAAATAATTGAAAAAAAATTTAATTGGAAAAGAATTATTTGAAAAAAAATTAATTGAAAAAAATAATTATTTAAAAAAAATTATTTGAAAAAAATTAAAAACTGAAAACGTAAACTCATTTTTTGAGTTTACGTTTTTTTCTCAAATTTAAAAATTGAGACAACTATTTATAAATTAAAAAAATTATCAAATAAATTTTTATGATAATTTTTTAAAATTTTATAAATATAAATTAAAAATTGAAATCATAATGGTTGCCCAACCGACCCATATATATTGGGTTAGCATCACAAAGCTCGCTCTGAAGAGCCAGAGAGCAAAATGCAAACCCTAGTTGGAAGAGCGACTGAGAAAAAGATTAGAGCAAAAGCACAACTCAATCTACCAAGCCTTCCCGAAGAAATCGTTATCGAAATATTCTCAAGATTACCCCTCAAATCTCTCGTAAAATTTACTCTTGTCTCCAAGCAATGGCGTGCTTTGATTCAATCAGTTTCTGTGAAAATCGTACCACGAAACAATGTTCTCGTTCGTGGAAGGTTTTCTCTTCACTCCATCGACCAAGATTTTCTTGTGAAAATCGTTGATGAACCTGTGAAAAAAAACCCATATGAAATCTTCGGTTCCTGTAATGGGTTGTTGCTTATTAGGATTCGCGATCATTTGTTCTTGTGGAATCCGCTCACCAAGTGTTCGACGAAAGTCCTCTCATATGAGCCCTTGCTGTGTACTGGTTATAGTGTTGTTTCTGGGCTTTGCTTTGACTCATTTAGTAATGAGTATAAGGCTGTAATGGCCCTTTCTCATGACATTACACTCTTCGGTGGTGAATTCGTTGTAGTTGGTAGTCTCCGAAGCAAAACTTGGACAGAGATCAACTTCCCCTACCATTTTTGTAGTGTGAAATCAGGACCTGTGGTGAATGAAAATCTACATTGGTTTGCCTCTAATAAAAGTTCGGATCGCTTCTTCGCACCCCGTGAAATCATTTACTTCAATCCGCGAATGAACAAATTCAAGAAATTACCAATGCCGCAACCTAAGAATGGAGATGGAGATATTATACTTGGTTTGGGAGTTTTGGAAGGATGCCTTTGTATGGTTCGCTGCTACGATGAGCATCCAAGCGGTCATGTGGGTATTGTCGAGTTGTTGGCAATGAAGGAATATGGAATGCAAGAATCTTGGACTACCATGTTCATCATATCGAATTTGCCTGAGTTGGGTATTTATGATAATGTAGTGCCGTTGTGTTTTATAAAGAATGGTGAATTACTAATTAAAGTTGGCAGAAAGCATTTGAGGGCATACAATCCTAATGACAACTCTCAAAGGGATGTTACAATTCCAACTTATTTGGATGCAATTGTGTATGAGGAAAGTGTAGTTACACCTACTGGGTACAATTGGGAGGAGGAAGTGTTGAGAGGGGAAGCAATATATGTCGAAACATCCCTTTCAGGCTCGAGGCGAAAGATAAGAAAGGTAATAGGTAAGTCGGACTATGAAGAGTTAGACTCAGGAGAGGAGGAACACAGAGTATTAGACTTAGAAGAGGAATAGAACCATGGATAGCCATGGGAAGAGGTGAAGCTGGCGAGATAGAGTTAATCCTAGTTAAAATTTCCGAAATCAACAACAAACAGCATAACAGCACATCAAATTTTGATTAGAGACCAAATAAAACTATATTAAGAGATGGTTGAGATGTATTTGGATTTGGGTGGACGGAAGCTCAATACAAGAGAGGAAATCAGCCAAACGAAGATCTTTTGTACCCTTTCTATCCCTTCCTCAATAACCTTTTAACTTTATTTTCTTTGTTTCATAGTGATTTTTCTTTGTTTTTGTTTTTTTTGAACTGAAAGTGTTAATGCTTAGTTTGTGATTAATAGATGTTTTTCAGATCATGTTGGATGAGAGTGCCTAACTTTTTTAAATTAAATATTTTTTTTAACGGCAAACAAAGAGAATTTATTGATGAAATTGACCATGTACAGTGATTATAAAAGTATCCTGGCAAACCATATCGTGTCCCAACTAGGTTGGTTACGAGGAGAGGGTTTAATCATACATGCATCAAAAATGAAAAACATAAAATCAAAGAGAGAAGCTCCTGATAACAGAGTCCAAAATCAACCCACTCAAAAACAAAAGTACAAAACGTAAATGTTGAATCATGAATCAATCCAATTCATTACATCAAGGTTGGATGACCACAATATCAGCAGCCCTCAAAATGACACACCATTTGCCTTCATTTGCACTTTGAATGAACACACATCAACAATGTAAAAGGTGATCAATCTTGTAATTAGACATGACAAAGTGAATGCATAGAAATCCATAACAGAGTACCCATTCTTAAATGTTAAAATCAGTGCCTTTGATTTTATCCAAAATGCAAACATAAGAACTTCTAACTAATTCCTTCACCTCGTACCACACAAGATGCTTATTTTAACAAAATCAGCCTATTCCTTGTGTTCCATAAAATCCACAAGATTGCCATGGGCATTGCTTCCGAATTTAATTTCTTCACCTGTTTGAATTTGCAGGGATACCACCATTTTAGTAAATCTGATAGAGAAGTAGGGTAAAACTTTTCTGTTGAACAGCAAGTCAGATGTAAGAATTCTATTCCTCCACGATAGGCAATGAAACATTTTAATGTGTGATCTCTGGGTGTTTTTTCCCTGATATATGATATTCTAGTTTTTCTCTTGCCCAGGAAATCATATAGATTTATTATTACTTCTGTACATATATTACTGTATGGTTGATTAAGAGAGAGTAGTGAAAATAAATAGCTCAAACAAGCATAGGTTATCAAAGATCTAACATGAATGGTCTAGTACACAACTAATCAATGGTTAAAGCTCAACAAACATTCTGGTAGATTTTTTGAATGCTTCAAATTAATCTTTCATAGTTCTGACTCTTTATCTCAAATGTGATTCACATATTTAAATTCAGACAAACACTCATTTTTCTAATTAATTGTCACTTTAACAGTTTCAAAATGGTAAGTACTAGTGTAATCACGTCATTTTGTGTACATATTTGGAGATTTAGATCATCATAAATTAGTAAAAGACAAAATTGGTGATAAATTCATTTTAAAAAGAGTATAAGATATTAGGTTAAGTGGATATTTTTTTTATTGATGCGAGTCACATTTTTGTGAAATAATTTGGTGAAAAGTTCTAAAGGACATTTTGTTTCCAATTTTATCCCTTATCCTTTTTTTTTATCTGTTTGACTTTTTGTTAACTATCTGTTCAAATTTATATTTATCTCTTCAAATTTTTTAACTATCTGTTCAATTTTTTTCCCTATTTGTTCAATTTCTTTACCCAATCTGTTTAATTTTGTGATCTTTTCAATTCAAAATTCTCTTATCTGTTTAGATATCTGTCCAAATTTATTATCTATTGAAAAAAAAGCCAACCAAATCCTATTTGTTGAAATACAAAGCTAAACCAACCCTATTTGTTGCAATAATGGACAACGTATTTTCCATTATCTGTGGAAATGCAAATCTTTGTTATTGAAATAATTAAGTCACTATTTAAATTTTATTATCTATTGAAATTTTGAACTAATCTGTCATATTTGTTTTTTTTTTAATCTGTTGAATCTGTTTCATCATCATCACCAACAACAACAAAATAACAAAAAAAAAAAACAATCTGGAGAGATCTGTCGATGTGTGCAACAAATCTAGAGAGAGGAAGATATATATATATATAATATAGATATATACACACACACATATATATATATAAGTTCGCCTGGAAGAGTTTCAAGAGAGGAAATTTTTTACTGCTGCTCAGAGAGAGAGAGAGAGAGATGCTCATAGAAAGAGAGAGAGAGAGAGAGAGAGAGAGAGAGAGAGAAGCAACAATGGCAGTCTCTCTCTGCCTCTGCCATGAGAGAGGCTGAAAACCTAAGACATACACCGCCACCCCGTTCGCCGTGTGAGAATCGTAGATCTAGAGTAGATCTGCTGCGGAACTCAGTTGGTGAGGGCGGTGCTGCCGTGATTGACTTTGGCTCTGTCACCATGGAAGATCGGTGGCGACAAAGGGAGAGAAAGAGAGAGAGAGAGCGATAGGCGCGAAAAAGAAAAGGAAAGAGAGAGAGAGAGAGAGAGAGAGAGAGAGAGAGAGATTCTAACTGGTATATGATATATATATATATACATATGTAGGGGCAATTTGGACATTTTTCACTAATCGATCCTTATGGACAAAGTTTTTTTTGGCATGGATCTTTGGACCAAGAAAGATTGATTTTGGATTTTTGGGCGGAAAGCCCATAGTAAAAATAGAGATCTATATTTCAATATATAATGTTGTAATTTTTTTTATTGAGAAAAATTTTCATTGCAAATTTGATAAAAGAGCAGATCAATCCAATAAACGAAATTATAATATCTCAAAAAGAGATAAACGAACTTCCATAAAATGAAAGATTCATGCCTCCATAGAGTAGGAGAAAAAGCCCCCACAATGAAGAGAAATAAACCCTCACATAGAAAAATTATTACATCAACAAACTAAAAATAAGAAAACCAAACCGAAAAAAATACCAAATCCAAGTCGTCACCAAACTCATCAAAAACTCCACTATTCCGCAACCTTCAATTTAGAAATTGAAGACTCCATTTCCACTGGTCAAGATAGAGCATTAAATTTATGTATGTTGAATTGTGTATAATTTAAAATCTTTCAACCCGCTTAAATAACACACCCAACCTGGCAATTATTATATATTTATATAAATCAAATACCTCAACTATGAACAAATATTCTAAATTTTGTTTTTATTTTATAGTTTCATAATTACATTACGATGCTTTTTGATTTTAGAATGTATTCATATAATGTGTTAAATTTTATAACTCGCTACCAAAATACCAACCTGTGATTTTGAGGTTGTGCGGGTTAACAATGGATTAAGAAATTGTCCATATGCAAGAACAATTTGGTTGGAATTATTTCATTCAAACCGTCCAAATTAACCTGCACACAACCCTAATTACTCGTTCAATAATTCATTCAGTAATGACTACTTGATACGAAATTAATGCAATAGAAAATGCAAGAAAATTAAGCCATGTCCTAATCTAGTCCTTTTGGAATTGATAATGATTCCTCCACCAAAGATTACAAGGCAATTGTGGTGATTAATTCATAACCCCTCCAATCTCTAAACAAATCCGGGCCCGTATGTTGTTGAGGCACTAGGAGAGAGTGAAATATTGCATGGGTCAAGATTGTGTGGTCGTATATTTTTTTTACTATTATTTTGTTTTTGTTTTTTGGAACATATAATTATTAGGTCTCTACTATGAATTGAATATATCACCAACATAAAATTTTCAAAAAGACAAGATAATTATTGTTAAACGAGATCGAGTAACTGCTTTATGGTAAGTGGTCGAATCCTATGAATGTCAAACATTCTAAATCTTGAAGCCATTGGAGGTGTGCTCAATCATTAACTTTAAGGTTTCAGAATTAGTCAAAGTACACGTAAGTTAGTTCGGACAACCAGTTATCAATACACACACACACACACATATATATATATATAAAGTGTAGTATGTGGTGCACGTTTATTTCAAGTGTAACTGATAACACTCTACTCAAAATAATATGAGCTAAAGTTACGTTTTTTTATATGATTGAGATTTATTTTAGACATAAGTCTCACCATCCAAGAATTAAATCTGGACTATACATCAACTTTCTAGACAAAATTCTTCCATGTTCTAATTACAACAAAACAATACTAGTTACACATAGCCCGTAGGCGGCCCAACCTTGGACCCTAGACCATCATTTTGGAAGTCGGGTCCAGTCCGCTGGCTAGGCCTAAAAAATTTAGTGCCCTATAGGCGGCCTGGCCCGTGGCCCATCCCTCCAACGGCTCTCTACCAACAGTCAAAAAAATTTAAAAAAAAAAAATTTGAAATCAATTCAAACAGTCATTTTTTTTATTTACAAATTAACCCCCTCCTCCCAAACTCCTACAAATATCTCCTCTCTCCTATTTAATTTCTTACAAACAACTCTCTCTCTCAAACTCTTAATCTCTTAATTTTTCTCAACTCTCAACTCTCTCAATTAATTTTGAAGTCTCATCCCTAAGTGACAATTACAATTGTGCAAAATAACCTTTTATCAAAAAAAAGCTAATTTTTATATCACATTCGCCAGTCGGTAACATTAATTAGTTGAATTAAATTTATTAGTTACTCATTTTTTACATTAATTATTTCTTAATATATATTAGTCTAAACTCTCATTCTAAAATTATTGAATTTTCTTAATTTTAAACAATTAAAAAAATTCTCATTAGCTAACTTTCATTTACTTTTTATTTCATAATCCCACATCGAGAAAAAAAGAAAAATGTAAATTTTTTCACTTACATAAAGTGAATCTTATGCTCCCATTTATATAAATTATTAAATTTTCTTAATTTTAAACAATTAATAAAATCTCCATTGGTTAGCTTCCATTTAACTTTTATTTTACAATTCCACACTAGAAAAACAAAGAAAAAGTGAATTGTTTCACTTACATAAAGTGAATCTTATGCTCCTATTTATATAAGTAAAAAAAGATTTTTAGTCAGAAACCCTACGTTCAATATCTCATACCAATTTTTTTTTTTAATTTTCTTAATTTTAAACAATTAAGAAAATTTCATTTGGTTAGTTTTCATTTAACTTTTATTTTACAATCCCACATAGAGGTTTTGATTTTAAAAATAATTTTGTATGAGATTCTGAAACTCTTATAATATTTAACTTTAAAATAATTACAATTCTACATCGAGAAAGGAAAGAAAAAGCGAGTTGTTTCACTTATATAGAGTGAATCTTATACTATTGTTTAATATTATAGTGTTGTACATATTTCAGTTCAAGACAGTTTAAATTTTAAAATAAAATTTGAAAGTTTTAATTAATTAATTTTGTTGTAAATTGGTTAGTCTTTTGACTTAACCAATTAGGCTAAATCGTTTTCGATTTGACTGATTCACTGGTTTAACCGCGGTTTTAGCTATTTTATCAAAATATATTGCCTAGATTTGTTTGATGTGGAATAAACTAATATTAACCTTATTAAAAATTAAGTGACTGAGATTGCTTGATTAGAAATGAACTTTCTGTCCAAACAACTGTTAACTTTTATTTTACAATCTCACATCAGGGAAAAGAGAAAAAAATGAGTTGTTTCACTATATAAATCTTATACTCCCATTTAATATTGTAGTGTTGTGTATGTTTTAGTTCAAGACAGTTTAAATTTTAAAGTTTTAATTATTTAATTTTTGTATAAGTTGATTGGTCATTTGACCTAGCTGATAGGGTGAACCATTTCTGGTTTGACTGATTCGATAAAAAAATGTCACTAATTTTTAACTTTCACCAACAGTTTGAAAAATTCGTCACAAAAAAATCACTAATTGTAAGTTTTAGTTACAATTTATAAAAAAAATGACAAAAAAAAGTCACTAATTGTCAATTTTTACCAATGTATGTAAAAAATAGTGACAAAATTATTTTTAGTGACGATTTTACTAGGACTTGATGGAAATTAAGTCCAATTATTAGAACCTATTGGTAGTTTATCCTATAAAATAAGTTGAATGGGATTCAAACCTAAGAGCCCAATATGAAATGGAATATATATATGTAGTTTTAAATTAAAATCAAATTTTATATTTTAAAGATTTATCAAAATCAAATTTTATATTTTACAAATTTAGTAATACAACACACCCACCAGCATATATAGGGTTTGTTTCGGATGTGGGTTAGTTTTTTGGCTTTTTGATTTTTTTAACTTAGGGCTAAAAAGTCTCGTTTACGATAAATTTTTTGACTTTTTTAACTTTTATGAGAGAAAAAATAAAATGAATATGAGTTGGACGTGACATTTTGTCATATTTATCTAAAATAACCTATTTTGTTCTATATGATTATTTTAGTCCAAACCCTCATCCCAAATGGGCCATAGTCAAAACCCTAACTCTTCAACAATTTTAGGGAAGAAAAAGTGGCGAGGAAACCTTCCTGAATAAATTGTTATCGAAATTCTCTCAAGGTTACCCCTCAAATCTCTTGTCAAATTCACGCATGTTTCCAAGCAATGGCGTTCTTTGATTCAATCAGGTTCTGTGAAAAGCGTTCAACGAAACAAAGTTCTAATTTGTGGAAGGTTTTATCTTCACACCATTGACAAAGCTTGTCTGGTGAAAAGTGTTCTTGAACCTGTTGAAAAAATCCGATCTCATTATTACATTGAAATCTTGGGTTCATGTAATGGGTTATTGCTTATTCAGTTGTTGCTTAGTTGGATTATCGATGATTTCTTCTTGTGCAATCCGCTCACCGAGTGTTTGAGGAAAGTCCTCTCATATCATTGGCTACGGGATAGTGGCTACGGTGTTGTTTCTGGGCTTTGCTTATGTCCTCGAATAATGAGTACAAGGTTGTAATGGTGCTTTCTCATGAGACTCCAAGTTACGATGGATTGGTTGTAATTGGTAGTTTTCGAAGCAAAACTTGGACAATTGTTCACTTCCCATACTGTGTTTCTAGTGTGAAATCGGGTCCTGTTGTGAATGAAAATCTACATTGGTTTGCTTCTAAAGAAAGTTGGGGTTGCTTCTTTGCACCCTATCAAATCATTTACTTCAATCCATGGAAGAATATGTTCAAGAAGTTACCAAGGCCACAACCTAAGGATGGAGATGGAGATATTCTACTCAGTTTGGGGATTTTAGAAGGATGTCGTTGTATGGTTCGCTCTTGCGAGCACCCAACCGATCATGTGGATAGAGTTGAGGTGTTGGTGATAAAGAAATATGGTATCCAAGAATCTTCGACTACCATGTTCATTCTATCGAATTTGCCTAACTTGCATATTTATGATAATGTACTACCATTGTGTTTTACAAAGAATGGTGAGATTCTAATGAAAATTGGCAGGAACCATGTAAGAGCATATAATCCTAACGACAACTCGCAAAGGGATATTAGGATTCCAACCGAGAGTCACTATTTCTATCACTACAACAAAACTGGGTTTTTATGGCTTTACATCAATGACATACAGTAAATGTAAGCTGTGATTTGTCACTTTTACGACCTACTTTTTTTGCATGCCGTAAATAATTTCTCAACTACGACATGTCTATTGCGTAGGTCGTGAATGTTAATAACGATGATTTTTTTACAGCTTGTAATCAGGGACAGACGCAGGATTCTAATATTGGGGGGGGGGGCGAGTGTATATGCAATCAAAAAATTTGTAATGAGCATGTGATATACAATACCAATTTCTACCCAAATATCACTAAAATATATAATTAGATGTTTCCGACCATCATATATAATTACAAAATATTATCAAAATACAATTGGATATGTTCTAATAAATCCATATTAATTTTCAAAAAAGCAACTATTTGCTTTACATATCTACTTAGGCATCTAAAGTTGTGCTTGACGTTCTTTCATAATATAAAAAGCATCTATGATGGAATCTACATCAAAATCTCAAGCAATGTCTTTCTCAACATATGTTAACAAGTAACTTGAAAGAAAATCATCCTCCATCTTGTTTCGCAATCTAGTCTTTACAATTTTCATGGCTGAAAGTGCACGTTCTGTTGTTGTCGTAGAAACTGGCAAAGTTAGAACAAGACAAATTAATCTATCTACAAGACGATAAATTGTTGACTTCCTTGTTGTTACCAACATTTGGCACAAGTCAGAAATTGTCAACAACTGTCGAAACTTAGGATGTTTAAGGATGTCAGTCTCGTAGTTTTGCAATTGGAATTTCAAATGTATTTTTTCTTACTCTAGTCATTAGGATAAAATTAATTTGCAAGCTTGCATATATTTCAATTTGAACGAACTGTAATCATCCCTAGGATCTAAAGCAGAGCTAAGAATAAGCAACTCCATCACATCTTCTTTGAATCTGTTGTTCAATTCTTGCAATTGAGAATCACATATAATTGTAAAAATATCAACCCGAAAATGATGCTCAATAGTAATGTGATCTCTTTGGTGACAAGCACGACCTCTATCAGATGTGTAACGAGCACTCATATCAGGAATATCTATGTCATATTTTCCATAAAATAGTTGAACATTCTCCAACAAAGGAATCCATCCATCTTCTCTATATTTTTGATCAAGTGCTTTTGTAGTTGACACTAGATGCGTTGCATTCAATATATCTTGGGATTTACGTTGCAAAGCTTGGCAAAGATCATCAGTAGTCTCCATAATATCTCTCATAAGATGTAAGATAAACACAAACTCAAAAGATGTAATCTTATCATAAACTTCATCTACATCTATACGTTGAGTAGAGGTGGCTCCATCATTGATGACATTACTTAAGACTGAACGAGTTGCACTAAACATATTTATCAAACTGGAAAATAGATCCCAAGTGAGAACCCCATCAAGTATCTCCAGCTCGTTTCAATGTCCCAGCTTGATTTTTGCCTTTACCAGTTTCAACTTCATCAATGACAAGTTTTGCTGCAATTTCTTCAGCTTGAGTAACTTTCAACTAATCATGTTTTTTACAAGAAGAGCCACATAAATTAATTGTGAGAGCCAGATAAGAAAAAAATTGGGCAACGGGCATAACCTCTCTTGCTGTCGTTACCAATGCTAATTAGAGTCGATGAGCAAAACAATGAATATAATATGCAAAATGATAGTCATGAAGAAATAAGACTTGCAACCCAGTCCACTCTCTACGCATATTACTAGCACCATCATACCCTTGACCACGAATATTTTGTACACTTAGATTATGACGAGATAAGATAATACATATTTCTTCTTTCAAAGTTGCTGATGTTGTATCCGATACATGAACTATGTCAAAAAAAAAGCTCCTTTATGAAACCATCTTTATCAACAAATCTTAGAACAATGGCCATTCGCTTCGTCTTTGCTTTCTCTCGAGCTTCATCCACTATAATGAAAAATTTTGCTTCATCAATCTCCTCACGAATGAATCTTTGTATTTTGTCAAAGAAAATACTAAGAATCTCTTTTTGAATTCGATGCGAGTAGTATGAAGAATTTTGAGGACCTTTGTGTAACACAACATTTGCCACATCCGCATTATAAGATGCCAATTTTATCAATTCAATAACATTCCTTTGATTATTAGAATCATGACGTTCATCATGACCTCTAAATGCACAAGCTTGAAATGTAAGCCATTTGACAGCATTTATTGTAGTCTTCAACTACAAACGGTTTTTTGCAACTTGTTGAGAAGTTTATTTCTCAACTATCTTCTCAATGTATTGCGATTGATTTGTTAAATCATGGCAAGATTTAACGGCAATTATGTGCAATGAATTAGGACCCTTTCCCATATAAATTAAGAAAGCACAATTCTTCCCATTATTGAATTTCTTCCATGAAGAAAATCCGTCAAAAATGAAAGCGCTAGAAATAATGCGTCCATTCGATTTTGTAAAAGGTTAGCAAGGAAGACAAAAGGCACAATGTTTGGTTGGAGAATATTCTAGCCAATTTGGAAATAACATGTACCAAGAAGCTAGAAAATGACGCCCATTCTTCTTTTCAAAAGGTTGGTTTTTAGGTTGGTATGGTCCAAATTTGATGTAAGCTCATCGAATCTCATCACGTTGAGATATCAAATAATCCCAAATTTGTGGTCGTAGTCCT